AAACACATTCCAACCATCAAAACCATGCCAGGACACCTCGTTTTCCTAACCCTAACCCTACCCTGGGGCACACCCCTAACCCTAATACAGGGCTAAAGTTCCACTGAAAAGAGGGCGATTTTGAAAAAGCCTTCCCTGAGGAGGTTTTTCTGCCCAGCTCATCATTTCTGCCCATTCTAAACACATTCCAGCCATCACATTCGAAGCATGTGTCCTCACGGCGGAGAGGAGCCGGGAGCCGGGATGTGGACGGCACCAGCCGAGGCCCAGACCTGGATCCGGACAGCCGCAGGCCCAACCCCGCCAAGCTCCTGCAGCCCCGATGGCCCGAGGCAAGGCAGGCCGTGGGAGGTGGGGGCGGGGGGGCTTATCACAGACGTGCACGTGCACATTTTGTTGACTTCAGGCACCATTATCTCCCTGCCGCAGGCGAGGCGCGTGATGCGCTGGGGCAGCCGGAGCAGGAGGGCCGGCGAGAGGGCCGTGGCCCGCCTCAGTTCCCCTTCATGGAGGCGAAACGCTGCTGCGCCCAGAGCACAAGAAGCCGCTCGCTCCAGAGCCCGCCCTGAAGCCGCCGTCCGGCTGCCAGGCGCGGCGTGGGCAGCCGCCTGCTCCCCCCAGGCCGTGCAGGCCCGGCCCGCCTGGGCAGAGGGCAGTGCGGCACGCAGTTCTCGGTGCATCACGGGGTGGTCCCAGTGGCGCCACAGAGGCGCTCGGCGAACGGCAGGCAGGGCAGCCTCCGCTCATCGGCTGCACCAGCGACTCTGCCCTCTTGACGGGCCCAGTGGACCTTCTCTTGCTCAGCTGGCAGAGGGGCAACCGGGTTTCTTTTCGGAAATGCCTTCCGCAGGACGCGTTTCCTGCCCACCTGCTCCCTGCACCTTTTCCTGATGGACGAGTTCGGGGCGCTGAGCCCGGCCGTTCAGCAAGTCAGCACGAGCGGGGCTTTGCAGGAAGCCACCGCAGGAACCGTTCGCCCACCAGCGCCCGCCCTCCCGCCTGCCGGCCACACCTGCCGCCTCGCCTCCGGCGGCCCCTGGCGAGTGCTGCCACCCAGACCCAGCAGCCACTGCAGGGCTCCCGGGCTTTTGGCAAGGCATTCGCCAGCTGAGCGAGGGTGTTGCTGCTGTGGACCTCTGTGCGAGGAACACCTCTGCCAGAGCTACACCGCGGCCCCGCTCCTGCTTTCTGGGCACCGTCCGCCTATGCCTCGGGCACCGATTTTTCCGATCCAGTTGCTGGTTTCTACCATCCCAGCCAAGACAGGGCCAGACTGGGGTACAGGCCGCACAGGAATCAGGCGGTTGTCTGCAGAAGAACCGCCTTCCTCCCGGTCCATCACCTGTGCCCCCAGTGCCCAATCGTTCGCCCCCCCCCGCACAGCAGCCAAAGCCCACCTCCTTGGGGGACAGCAGTCTCTGCGCCGCCTTGGGCCAGAAGGCGAGTGCAGTCCAGGGGCAGCCGGATGCCCAGCACCGCTGGACACGCAGGGGCGGCCCGCCGGAGCTTCCCAAGCCCAGCCCTGGGGAGCGGCCTCCTCTTCCGCCCATCCCCATGGCCAGCGTCGCTCCCAGGGCCACGGGTGGCGGCACAAACGTGTCCTCAGGATTTACGACTTACAAAGCCTGTCGATCAACAGGTAGCCACACGTCCTGCCATTTACACGCCTTGGCAGCACGCGGCAGGGCTAAAAATAAGAGGAAGGGGGACAGGCTGGGCAGGGATCCAAGCGGTGCCGCCGCCGCCGCGCCGCCAGGCCCACCCACCAGGTGCCGTGCCGCCAGGCCCAGCCGCTCCGGAGAATGCTGCAAGAGCAATAAGGATTTTCGGGGGCATTATGGTAGGGTAGAAGAAACACAGCTGCCCCCAAAAGTCCCTCATTTTCCCTGCGGTGAAAAGCGGCGCGGGAGGGCTGCGGGGCCACCTGGCCGGGGGTGCCCGGCGGCCTCGCTCCATGGGCCAGCCGTGGCCTGCTGGAGGCCACGGCAGGCACAGGAACGGTTGCCACGCGCAGGACAGCTCGGGCACGCCGGCTTGGTCCGCCCAGACCTCTGGCCGCAGGCAAGGGTCCCGCCCGCCCCCCGGCATCGGCCACACCGGGGGCAGAGGCCACCCACGCTCCCGCTGCCTGCCTGCCTGCCCCCCACCGTGGGAACGCCCGGCGGCCCAGAGGGACTCCGCTGCCGGCACCTCGCGGCACGTCTGAGGCCGGCCCGCCGACTGGGCTGCAAGCCTTCTGGCCCCCCATTTCCCACGCTTCTGACCCAGCCTGGGGCTGCCTGTTCCGGGAACCCCGTGCGATCAGCAGCAGCAGCGGCGAGAGCAATGAGGAAACGCCATTTTTACACCGAAGCGGAAGCCACGGGTTGGATCCGCCCAGGGGCCAAGTCCTGGACAAGCTTTGGGTACCTAGTTCTGGCCTCTCAAAGTTTTGTAACTGCTTCTCCTTGTTGTACTTGTAAACCTGGGTTGAGGCAAGCCATGATCTTAGCAAAGGAAAGAAAGCAATGAATGCAAACCCCAAGGCTGAATGCTAGCAGAGGTCATTAACCCTTTCAGCGCTGGCGCCTACCACTGACCCCAACTGAAGGCCCATTCCAAGTTTTGTGGCCACGCGTTAGCATGGTGCTGGTGGCCGACACATGGCTAGAGCGATCCACCTGGGGGGGCCAGCAGAGAGCGGAGCACGCCGCCCCCGCCCCCAAGAAGCCAGCGCCCACGGACAGCCTCCCCAACCCGGTGCCAGCTCCGTGGCCCCAGTCTGTGGGGGTGGGCCAGGGGCACAGTTCAGCCTGCCTGGAGGGCCGAAGCTGGGACGGGCGGCCCAGCCAGAGGGCCGCTAGGGGAGCCTTCCTGCTGACGACGCCTGGGAAGGCTGCAGTCGGAGGAACTGGCGGGTCTCCTGCTTGCAGCCGGCAAGTCGCTGCACTGGGTAGCCAGGGGCGCTCCCCCCACGGGGACGCAGAGCGTCCTGGGTCCCCCGAAGACCAAAGCTGCGACCCGACACGCAGCGCAAAGGAAGACGGCCCACACCCCCAGGCAGAGGCTGTGGAGAGCCAAGGGCCCTTTTGCGGCTGAGCGGGCTCCCTAGCACGCCCCCGAGAACCATGCTGGGAGGGGATGTTGGGAGTTGCAGTCCGGCAGATCCGGGCAGCACCCCCCAGCCAGGGCACGGAGCGCGACCCCACCGGCCGCCCCTTGGGCTGCTTTCCCAGCCGTGCGGATGCTGCCCCCCCCCCCGCAGCAGCCCGGCTCATTTTCGAGGCCGTTATGAATGGGGCCAGTGCAGGACACATGACCGTCTGTGGAGGTGAATTCTCACAGTAGGCAGAGACAGAAATAGACGGAGAGAGGCCCTGAGCGGGCGAGTGCCCAGGCCCACCCCTCCCGGGCCCTCGCTGCCTCCGGCCCCCTCCCTGTGCCAAGCAGTCCTGTCGGGGAGGGCAGCTCCGCGCTGCTCGGTGGCTCTGGGGCCGGCGGCAGAGCCTGAAGCTGTGCGTTGGGGCCGGCCGGCCAGGCCTGCACGACGGCAGGCGGGGAAGCCAAGCGGCCAATGAAAGACGCATTCATGCCGCCCGGCTGCTCCGGGGCTCCACAGCGGCCCAGCCGCCCAGAGCCACAGCTGCTCCCTCACGCTCCACGCCTGCCTCTCCCAGAAGTCCTCTCCGTGCCTGCTCTGCACCCACAAAAGTGAACTGCGTGGGCCCCGGGGGCGCCTGAAACTTTTCCAGCTCAGGTCGAGCAGATTTGGCCCAACCCAATCAGAGGCTGATCAGAAAACTGGGAAAGACTCTGGGAGAATCTGAAGGGAAAACACGAACAGCGCTAAAGCGACACGGCCCACGTGAGCCCGCAAAGCGTGTTTTGCCACGGCTACCTGAGCGCTCTTGCGACAGGGCAGCCTGGCGCCAGGTGTGTCGGGCCGCCACTCCGTGCACCTCCCGGCCCGCGGGGCTGGCTGGGGATGGCCCAGCCGTGGACAGACCTGGAGGGCACCAGCTTGAGGCAGCGGTTGCAGGACAGAGCTAAGCACCGGCACACACAGAAGTGCCCGGGAATGCCGGGAGGAAAGCTTTGAAGGGTCTGTTCCCACCGCATCCACAAAACGGGCTCTTCTTGGTGGAAGGACAGCTGAAGAAAGCTGATCTACCTCTCTTCTGGGTCTCATTCTCAAGCCAGACGCCCTGCACTGAAGCGGTTCTCATTTTACTGAATCTGTTTTTCCAGAAGATTTTTTTGCAACGACACAGTAAAACATCTCAAACATTTCTCTTCAGCGCTTCTTCACGCACCACGTGCCAAGCTCAGGGGCAACAAAGACAGATCTGCCATGCCAGTGACATCCGGGTGCAAGGCGCAGGCTGACGCGCCAGACTTCTGCAAAGGTGCGCTCCCGCCCGAGCCGTGGCTCTCTCCGCAGACCGAGGTGACCCCCAGAAGAGGGACTTTGTGGGCCAGTTGGTTCCATGTAAGCTCATCTCGCCCCCAAAACCCCCGCTCTGGAATCACAGCCTCCAAAGGGCAGCTGAATTCACCACACTCCCCAGCCGGGCGGCACACGGAACAGGAAGTGCGCGCAGACCTTACACAGCGCCCCCCGACTTTAACTCACCGCCAGACTGGAACCGCGTCGCAGAACCGGCTTGCGCTCGCCATCCCGGCGGGGTGGGAGTGGGTGGGCAGGGGCCACTCCATCGGGGGAGCGCTCTGGCCACACGTCGCTCCGCGGGGGGTGTGCACCTGGGAGGGGGCTGCAGCACACCCCGAAGCCACCTCTCCGCTCCCCCGGGGCCTCCACCCACCAGGCCCTCTTCCCCCAGGCCTGCCGAGCCCCTGCCGGGTCCGCCCGGCCGCCAAGGCCCGCTCTCCCGCTGCCTCCGAGAGGGAGCGGATCTTTCCCCAGTGGCCCTCTGGGTGGCCCTTCCGCCTCCCACAGCAGTCTCCCACCCTCCAGATGAGTTGGACTGCAGCTCCCATTATGCCTGGCCATGCTGGCTGGGGATCATGGGAGCTGCAGTTCCGCACACCTGCACAGTGCAGGTTGGGGGGTCGGGCAGGTCCTGGGCCACACGTCAACCTGGGAGGAACGTGAAGCAGAGTGGCCCCAAAGCCCCTTCCCGTGCTTCGCGGGGCCCTTGTCTTTGGACCGAAGCAAGCCGGGCAGGTAGCATAAGATTATCGTAAGCACCACTTCAAAGTACGCTGCCGAAAGAACTAGAGCAAACACGCAACAATCAACAGTAGGAGCCATGAAAAGGCAAGACTTTTGCCTTTTTAAAGGCTCAGCTGAAAGAAATTACCGCGGGCTCGGCCAGGTGTGCTCGAGGCAACCGCACGCACGCCTCCGGAAGAGGCAGCACGGAAGGGGGACCCGTTCCAGCGCCTCCCCCCACACCCCTCCGGATGGTCCGGAGCCAGAGGCCTCCGCAAGCTAAAGGGCGCGTTGAGCCGCCCCGCGGCCGAGGACGATGGAGCGGGTGGCGCATGCGCTCCTCCTCCAGTGCCCCCTCGAGCGCACCCTCGCCGGACACGGGCCGGGTTGGGGAGCGGCTTGTTGGCCAGAGGAAGCCTCGGAGAAAAGTTCTGTCCGAAGGACCCTAAATGAGGCACGAAGTGGGGAGGCACAGAGGGCGCTATTTCCACCCCCCACACACACACACCCACACACACACCCACTGGGCCATTCCGGACTGGGCGGAGGAACCTGAGCCATCGCGGTGCAGGGCTTAAGGGCGTGGGTCTGGGACTCGGACAGTCAGGGTTCGGGTCCCCACTCAGCCACGGGGCCGACCGGGTGACTGACTGGCCAGGCACGGACTCGCAGCCCAGCCTACCTCACAGGGTTGTTGCTGTGGGGATGGGACTGAGAACAGCAGGAGGAGAATGTTTTCAGCTGCTTTGAGTTCTTTAAAGGAGAAAAAGGCCAGGCAGTGAACCAATAAATAAACAAATGAACCCCTTCATACGATTAATCTGAGGAACTCACTGCGGCAAGATGACGCCACCGACCTGGTGGGCAGCCTGGCTTTCAAGCAGGATAAGACAAGTTCCTGAAGGAGATGCCAGCAAGATCGAGTCAAGGCACTAGTCCTTATGATGGGGGAGTGACGCCTCCATGCTGAGAGGTGGCGGAGCCTGAAAAATGGTGCCCAAGGGCAGAGAAGGGCTCTCGCGGCCCCTTGCGGCCCTCCCCTCGAGGCACAAAGGGGAGGGCCTCGGCGGGACCCGGGCAAGGGGGCCGGGCCGGGCCCCCCCGGGTGTGCGCAGCAGGGGAGGCAGCCGCGCGGGGGCGGGCAGACGCCAGCTGAGCCGGGGGGAGCCGGAGAGGCCCCCCTTCCGCCGCCGGGTCCTCCGCGAGGAGCAGTGGCCGCTGCCGGAGGAGGAAGAGGGCGCGCCACCTGCTCCGCGGGGAGGCCGGGGGGCCGCTCGCCCGGGGCGGCCGCCGGAGCCTCCCGTCCGCCGGAGCCCGCGCTGCGCTGCGCGGCGAGGGCCGCCGCCCCCAGGCCCCCTCCCGGGACTCCTGCCGGCGCGGGATCGGGCCCCGCGGGGCGGCGGGGGACTTACCCGTGCT